GCGTGGCGTGGGGGTGGGGGGGTGATTTCTTGTTTTCTGTCTCTCTGTCTCTGTCTTTCTGGCAAATGCACGTGCCCTATAGCAAAAACCTCTCAAAAAAAAATCTGCATTGACTATCATGCAATTTTCATGGTGTTATGGACTGATAGAAAAAAACAGTGTGTTGAGATGAGAGAGTCTATGAGCAAAACTCTTCCATGCAGCCTTCTCCTGCGTTATGCAGATAGTTAGAGTGGATAATAGGAAGAAGCAAAACTATAAATTCAAGAAACAAAACACATTCATGAAAAACTCCTTTTGTGTAGCAAAACAAACTAGAAATCACTAAAAGGAGAAATAACATAATATTTTAAAAAGCAAAGTATTTTGGGGCCAGCAGGTGGCATGGTGGTTAAGGCTCTGGACTCCCACCTGGCCTACCATAGTTTGAATACAGGAACTTGTGGCTTGCCTTCTAACTTTCTCTCTCTCTCTCTCTCTCTGTCTCTTTCTGGCCAAATTAAAATAATAATAATAATAATAATAATAATAATAATAATAATAAAATGAATTAATAATTAAAAAAATTTATAATTAGTTCATTCTCTTCCTTTATTATCAGACATTTGGATTTCTATATAGTTTGATGTTTTTAGAAAAACTTAATCCTTTTTTTTTCTTTTTTTTTTGAGATATTTTTGCTATAGGGCATGTGCACTCACCAGAGAGTGAGAGAAAGAGACAGAAAGCAAGAAATCACCCCCATCACCCCAGGGGGGATGGCCATACTGTAATCCCTTCTCCTCCATTCTCTCAGGGTCTTGGGTATGCACACATATGTGCCTGGTGAATGCTGATATTTTAATCAAATATAAGTATTTTCTTTGATTTTACTCTTGAATGACTATTTTCCATTTATACTTCCAAATTCTTATTCTATTTACTTTATGCAACATTTTTCAAGTCAAAATCTTCAAAGAAATCTTCACGTAAATCAATTAAAATATGTTTTTTATTTTTTTTGACCAGATTAAAACAAATGATTTTACATCTAATATTAGATGAGATTTTCTTAACCAAGTTTTAGTGGGGCTATATATTTAAAATAATTTTATTTAGCAACCATCAGAAGTCACTAAGCATTTTAACTATAATGAATATCAATTAGGTTAGTCTGACCAACTTATTTATTAAAACATTTTTTAAAAATTGCCACAGGGACCATGTGCTCCCAGAGAGTGAGAGAGAGAAAAAAAAAAAAAGGAGAGAGAGAGAAAGAGGGAGAGAAAGAGAGATATCAAAACACCCTTCAATGGGAATGGCCATGCCATAATCTTTCTCCTCCATTTCTTTACTCTGTCAGGGTTCTGGGCACACCCATGCACCTGGTATGTTTTTCAGGCTGTCAGGCCTAGGATTCAAACCACAATCAGTCATGTGAGAGCTGGCTGTCCATACCCAGGGCTTAACCCACTGGGCTATGGGGCCAGCCCTTTTCAACAACAATTCTTTAGGTTGTATTTTATCTGGTATAACTTTGATGCTATAAACAATTACAGAACTGTTTTGGTTTGTCTTGTCCACTTGACAGCTGAGCACTGTGTTCAAGACATATCTACTATTAACATTCTTTAAATGTTGAACTGTACCTGGCACATATTAGGACAACCCATATGTGATTAATTAATAAAGGAATGAGTTACAGACACTCCTCACTTAAAAAGTTCCATTCCCACGCTAGATTAAGTGAATTGGTCACTAAGCGAAGAGCCTAAAGATGGATGTCTCGTGGTATCTTGTGGTGCCATAGGGTATGCATTTTTCAATCTATACCATGTGATACCACACTAGAATAATGTAATTCTACCCATGCAAAAAGCATACATTAGGTAAGTGCCAGAAGGTGACAATACACACAACAAAGTAATATAAATCCAGAGTAATCATTTTTATTTATGCTGAATACTCCCATGCATGCACAATAAAGTCCAAAATTTAAAGGAAATATGTAACCTTGTGTGATTGCAAATGCTCTGTGTAGTGAATACTAACCTACTGTGCTAATGAGATGAAGACTGAGAACGGGGGTTCCTGGTCCTGGAGAACTGGTCTAAGTCTGCGTGGCATTAAACATGTATGTCATTAAATGAGGAGTGGAAGCACTTCCTTACTTTCACATGTGTGGTAAACTTTATCAAGAATATTTGACCTAATGCTTAGTGACAGGGAGAGAAAGAGAAAGAGAGACAGAGAGGAGGAAAGAAACTATATTATACAATATGCAATGTATTGACTTGAATAGAAACAGTAGAATTAATCACAAGAATCTGGTTATGGTACCATTAAGTATGAACATATTTTTGATTAGATGTGCATAAAACTTCATGAAAGGGGAAGATGATGCATTACTGAGCAATTTGGCAAATACACATGTGGCTTGCCTCTGTATGTCTTTACTAAAAGTATGAGTGAAGTAGGAGAGCACCAGGTTAATTTCAAGAACAGAGCAATGGCTACAGCTTGCGAATGCAAAATTGAGAATGGTGTTCACATTGACAGAGCTGATGTTCACCTGGATAATCTAACTTTAAGGCTTGGTAATATCCCCTTCACAGAAACATCCCTCTGAGGACTTATCACGGACGCCTGACATCTCACCAATGTCAGTTAATCCCTTTAGGTTACTACAATAATTATTCCTTTTTGAAATGCACATCCTCCCGAGAAATCATTTTAATAACTGCAAGACATTTTAAATGAGACATGCAAGAATGATAGCTATGGAGAGCATAAGAGAGAGCAGAAGAAAGGTCATATGTGTTTAGCAGTCAAGACTCGATGGCAATACCGTATCCCATCAGTTACGAAAGCCATAAGAAACCGGGCGTCTGTGAGTTACTTCCCTGAACATCAGCTTTGGTGCTTACCTATAGCACTGGTTGTTCACATGTTGTAAAGTGTGATTGCACAAGAAAATTCTGAAGAGAAGTACATGCTGGTCACTCACAAACCCATATGTCCAGCTCCACCCTTCCTCCTAAATCTTGTAGCTGCACTTAAGGGTCTTCAGGATAACTCTGGTAGAATGTTATAATGATACACCAAACTCACATTTCCGTTTACAAACTTTACATTTTAAATGTCTATTCCAATGCTTTTTACCTAACTCTTGCTTAATAAATATTTAAATATATCATTAAATACAATATATAATAAGTGTAGTATGTGATCATGTAAATATAATATAAAATAAATATTTGCATGGCTAAATGTAGAACTTTTGCTTAAGTTAATATGTTTATTTTATAGATTATTATTTAACGTTATACTGGCCTAGTTTATCATATTAATGGATTGTCAAATCTAAAGAAAACCTTAGCGATCATCTAATTCAATCCACTTATTTTATTTATGAAAAAATTGAACCATGGGAGGGAAAGTAAATTTCACCAGGTGGTAGAAGTGGGAATAGAACTGACATATTTTAACTCTAAATTGCGTGCGTGTGCTTAATTTAGTTTGTAGAGGTACACGCATTCTCAACAGGGAGAGGAGTGAGAAAGCACCTCCTATGGGCATGATCACATCACAATCCCTTCTCCATTTCTCCCTTCTTTTGGGATTTGGGGCATGTATAC